ATTTATTTTTTGATTATTTGCAACTAAAATGATTATATATCAATGCTTACACGTTTTATGTCCAATAATTCAAATAAAGTGCATGATTTGAGGTTTTAATTTAATTCAAAAATAGAAGATAACCATTTCAATATAATAGGATATATGATTAAATGCTGAAAATTTTGGAGGGATAATATAATTTAATGCTGAAAATTTTGGAGGGATAATAAAATTAAATGCTCAAATTTTGGAGGGATAATATAATTAAATGCTAGGTAATAATTTAATGCTTTGTTGTTCCAAATTATATATATATATAGATAATTAAATGCTGAAAAAATTGGAGGGAAAATATAATTAAATGCATTAGAATAAAATTAAATGTTGTTATGCCAAATTATATATTTATAGATTGGTGTTTGAACGGGGTGATTATTTGAGGTTTAAAGCGTACGGAATCACGGGGTAGATCGGTGATGAAGATACAGAAACAGGGTAGATTGTATTATGTATATAAATCAAAATCAGTTTTAATTGAATATATACACACAGAGTGAAAGGGTATATATAGAGAGCAGGGGCGGATCCATAAAAATGAATTCGGGGTACGAAATATTTTTCGATAAAGACATAAAGTTGGGATATGTATATTTGTTCAATGCTAAGTTGGCAGTAACAAGTACACAGCATTCTCATAATTCATAAATAAAAACCTACTATTGTTGTGAAATATTTATTATAAAATAATGTATATGAATGACTATTTTGTCCCTGATGTAATTGTATTATTATGGTTGTGCCATCAGAAGTTTTCTATAAATAGGAGCTTTAGTTATAATGAAAACGTACATAAGAGAAATATTTTCTCTATTATCTCTCTTTTTTTCTAGTTTTATAACACGTTATCAGCACGAGTCTCTACCCTTCAGAGCTCGATTTGTAATATAATGAGAGTATGCTCTACAGTTGCGTCTTATAGACGATCTTTTGTATCAGAAATCAGAATATTACAAACGTTATTGAAACAAAAATTTCACAATGACTGATATCAAAAGAGAACTCAAAAACCAACATATTGTACCATCCAAAACAAAATCTTTAATTAAAAAAAAAAAAAAAAAAAA